CTTTTTCGGTTCGATGCCCATTCAAGTTGTAAACATTGGGGGTAGACCCTATTTGATGGTCATTATTTGGAAAAAAAAAAAAAAAAAAGTTTTGAATAATGAATTCTTGAAAATGTAATTAAAAATTATGAAAATTTTTTGGGTTTATGCACATGATATTTTATTATGCGAATGTGTTGTTGAAAATAAGTATGTTCAATTTTATTTTTTTTAAAATAAAAGATATCAAACAAGGACTTAGTATTTGCACTCGGGGAACTCATAAAGCCCCTACATTGAGGAAAATCCTCAACCCTCTGTACGACGGATTTCGCGTATTAAAATACAGAAAACGTCACAAATCATATTTTAAGAAATACAAATAAATGAGAATCTTTATAAAGAAAGCACTACTTCTTCGAAGTAATGCCTTTATCATCCTGTAGGTGACATACTCCTTTTAAAATTTTATAACAATTGCACAAGTCGATTCATCGCCTACATGCCTTTTACGCCCAGCCATTCTGAATAACACTTGCTCATATAGCCTCGGCCTGTCCAAATGATGTTCAACAGTTATTCCCTCATGCACTGGAACTTGGTTAAACAAAAAAGGAGTTCAAATTGATTTGAACGCATATTTTCGCAAAATGACCTCACGTAGCCAGTTAGCCACTCTCGATCGAGCCCCAAGAACCCCTTGCTTTTGGCTACAATCTTTATTAACCTTGTTTGCTTTTGCCTTACTGCACCATAGGCAGACGCACGATAGTATACAAGAAGTAGTATTTTCCCATTTTCTAGCAAGCCTTTCACTAGGGATTGACTAATAACTTCACTCGTGATTCTCCATGTTTTAGCCCATTTACTCGTTTTCCTACCATATGGAACTCTTTTATATCCATTTCTTCAGTCCCCATAATTAATATACTTCCAATGTGGGATTGACAATTTTCAATAAAACACACTTATTCAATACACTTTCAATGTTGGATCGACAAACTCAAGTAAAGCACATTTATTGACACATGGTGTATGACTACAAAATTAAATTACTCAATTTCTAAAGATTGTTGAAATATTATTTATTTTTAATCTTACGGATTAGTTAGTAAAATTTGAATGAGTTTTTAAGTGATCCAACAAATAAAAAAATTATAAGTTTTATATTTAAAAGCATATAATTGACATATTTGTATTTATTTTGAATTGGCGGTGTGAAAATTTAATTATATATTGCTGTCAAAATAAAATTAAAAAATATTTATAAATATTTATTTATTACCTCCGGTTTAACACAAATTCGATCTCGATTGAACCTTTTGACCATTGATATTTTCTCTTTTTCGGTTCGATGCCCATTCAAGTTGTAAACATTGGGGGTAGACCCTATTTGATGGTCATTATTTGGCAAAAAAAAAAAAAAAAAAGTTTTGAATAATGAATTCTTGAAAAATGTAATTAAAAAATATGAAAAAGTTTTGGGTTTACGCACATAATATTTTATTGTGTGAATGTGTTGTTGAAAATAAGTATGTTCAATTTTATTTTATTTTTTAAATAAAAGATATCAAACAAGGACTTAGTATTTGAACTCGGGGAACTCATAAAGCCCCTACATTGAGGAAAATCCTCAATCCTCTGTACGACGGATTTCGCGTATTAAAATACAAAAAACGTCACAAATTATATTTTAAGAAATACAAATAAATGAGAATCTTCTTGTAATTGCAAAATTGCAAAACACTCTGATTAATGATCTGAACGTTTGAAGACAAGAGCCACGTGGCTTGAATCCAAGACTTCTTGAATTGTTGAGAATTTGATTTGTCGAGAACTTGACTTGTTAACACTTGAATTTCAGAACTTGGATTTGGATTTCGAAACTTGGTCTTGATCTTGATTTAATTCGAAGAAGATTTTGATCTTCTTGGATTTGTTTGGTTTGAAGGAGATTTTGATCTTCTTCGTATTTGCCGAACTTGGAGTTGAGATGATTTCTTCTCTTCCTTCGGCTTTGGAATTTCTTTAGCACTTCGTGATTTTCTTCTTCACTTTTTGCTCCCCTCTTCAATGAACCTTTGACCCTATTTATAGGAAAAATTCGTGGCTAATTTTGGTAATCACATAATTAATTCAACTAAATTGATTATAATTGAATAATTATGGATTTAGAAAAAAAAAAGTATGGTGGGCCTTTAAAATCTTATGGGCTTATTAAATTTTAGTTTAATTGGGCCGATTATTTAAATTGACCCAACCCATTATTTTATTATTTTTTTTTTATGTCTACACCCTCGTTTGAGCCTCAATTTTTAGAGTAATGAGTTTTGGAATGTTGATTTTTTTTTATTTTTTTTTTTAAGTTTGTGGTTAGAAAATAAGAAAAAATTTAAGATATACGTGTAAAATTATTTTATGGAAAAATGTGTAGACGAAAATGAATTTTAAAAAAATAAGTTTTTAAAAAAATGGTGGCCAAACATAGGCTAATGTCTTCAATCTTTATAAGTTAATTTGATAATTAATTTCTTATAATTGCACAAATAATCCTCAACAATCTAAACCATTGAAATCTTTCCTTTACATAGCCAACTTTATGAAACTATTCTGGGTGGGGGCATGGGGGTGGCAACCGCTCACACAACATTTTAAAATTTTTTGAAAACCTTCGTAGAAATTTTGATTTTTTTTGAAATAAATACATAATATGTGCATATTTCGTCCTCTCAAAATTTTCTCGCACCCAACGTGAAAATCCTGATTCCATTATTTAAACAAGTTGTTACCCAAATTGTCTTATTACCTAAAATAAAATATGTCTCGTTTTTGACGATTTAACATAAATAGTTAATAATCACAAATTTAACAAACTTAGATCATGTTTGGGAAGGATTTTAATCTAATTAAAATTGAAAATATAGCCGTTGTTGAGTCTCACGCATCTAATAAAAGTTAACAATAACGACTAATTTTTCAATTTTAATCATATTTTAAACTTTGCCCAACATTCAAATTGGTTTGAAGAGGAATGGGTAGTGGTGCATATGGGCACTTGTGCAACAACAAAGAGGCACAACTCGTTGAAAGCTGTAAATGCCCAAGCAGAAACAGAGTGTAGTACTTTTGGGTACAAGTACAAAAGGACCTACACACTTCACTCTGTGATTAGACTGATGTCATGGATCCCAAATAATACGTACAGCCCACCCCCACATCACACAGCAATGATCATGTGACAATATCGGACGGCAAAAGGAGTGGCTCACTCACACTTCAGCAACTACTACTCTCTTTTGATGCTATATTTTTTTTTTTTTTTGATATCCAGGTATCCTAACTTACACTAGACTATATCCTGGACCACCCATCCCCGGCCACTCAGTGATGGGTGGAGGTTAATAGCGGAATATGCCCAAATTGACCAGGGTCTGTGCACCCTTTATACTCCTGGCCCCAAGGGAGCCTTCCTCCATGAATATTACATCACCAAGCTGCTCCACCCAAATTGAGTATTACAACACTCAGCTGCTCAATCCAGGAATCGAACTCCCCACCCTGAGGTTGCAAGCCCAGCAGTGCCCATCTTTTGATGCCATTTTAACAGACAAAAGAGTGTTCATGCATTTGTTAAAGAATAAAAGAAAGCCATTCACACGTCTCGTCCACAAGTAGGGGTAACAAAATGGCCGAGTAACTCGTCAGCTCTTCAAAACTCGCCCCATGGACGACTCGAGCTCGTTTCGGGACGAGCCCAAGCGAAGCCAGGGGTTCGCCGGTGAGCTGAGCAAGGCTCGACTCAGCTCGTCGAGCTCGTGCCCACAATCCTAAAGTTCTCGTGGGCTCGTAAAAAATATGAAGAAAAAGTAAAAAAAAATTTTTTTTAAAAAAAGCTCATGGGCCCGGCCCGGCCCGGCCCGTGCATGGGTTATGAGCTCGTAGGCCGAGCCAAGCTCGGCTCGTGCTCAAATGAGCTTGAGCTTGACGAGCCGAACTCATGGGTAGATGAGCCGAATCGACTCGGCTGAGCCCATTGCCCCCACCATTTACAAGTTCCTTTCTTACTCAAAGATCAAACTCGGAATATAATAAGAAACCAGCTATGCTCTAATAGCTCAACTTAAGCCTACGTTTGGCTCGCGTTTATAAATTATTTATAAACAATCAAATCACTTTTAATTCATACATTTCGAAGGACTCACAAATATTGCACACTCATTCACTACTTTTTTTCATTTGTTTATAATTTAAATCATTTACAAACAATTCTCAATCACGCGACACTTAATTACTAGTGACAACAAGTAACCTTAACGTTTAGGTTCAGAAGCGGGACCTACAAGAGCAGAGTTGGGGGCTAAATTTTCAAATTGAGGTGGGCTAAAGAAACTTATTTACCCTACTTTTTGAGAGAGGATAATACTTCATCACAGTGGACCCAAACTTTTTCATCCATTTGAAGAAATTTCAACCATACCCTACCATATGAAGCTCCATAATTTCAATCACACTGCATGTAGAAACATACTTAATAAGGGGGGACACATACAATAATGTCAAAGGTACTACATGGATATTTTGTTTAAAACAAAAGATTTTCTTGTACCTATTCTTATTTTTTACTCCAATTCTGAGAATTCCACATGATTATTAAACTTTCAGTACAAAATAAATTGAATCTAAAGCAAAATAATGAAGAAACAAGAATTGGGAGAGAAAAAGCATCATATAGAGATGGTATTTGTTCTAGTTAAAAACTCCCCATTCTCTTTGATTTTATTTCTGTTTTCAACATATAAACATTTCATCAGCAAAACAAACCTCCCTATATATGATCAAACATTAATCTAGACTTGGATTCAAAAGGGAAACTGTAAAATCAAAGTAAAACCAAATCCATGTGTATTATGGGATTAAACTAGTGAGGTGATATCATGAACTATAATTGATGCATAAGCTCTACGACTGCTAGCATTGACAGAGAATTAAGCAAATTCAGGTTAATGTTGATGTTGTCAAACTCACATCACAGAACAGCTTGAGGTGTTTTCATCACTGAACATTGAGTATTGGTCTGGTTGTTCGCCTGGATGACGGGGGTACGGGTAAGGAGGGTAAGGTGGCATGTAACTGACTGCAGGTGGAGGCCGGGCATACATCATTGGTTGAAACCTTTCATTTCCATTTGCACGTTGTTGGTTCATCATCATTGCAGCCAATTGTTGCTGGTAATATGGGTTTCCAGCCATGTGCTCGATGCCGGGACCTTGAAAACCACCACCACCATTCATAGCATTAGTAGGAAGCCCTTGGACAGTTGAAAAATTACCCATTTGGCTGCCCATTGGTGGATTGCCCATCGGTTGCATTTGGCCCATTGATGGATTACCCATCGGTCGCATTTGGCCCATTGGTGGATTACCCATCGGTCGCATTTGGCCCATTGGTGGGCCCATTGGTGGATTACCCATCGGTCGCATTTGACCCACAGGCAGATTCCCCAACTGGCCCATACTACCACCGGCATTCATAGCCATCATATTTGGCATACCATGGAACCCATCATTCACTCCACCACCTTTCTTCGGCCCGTTAGCACCACCCCCACCACCATTGCCATTGTTGCCGTTCTTGTTCTGACCACCATTGCCACCGCCCTTTTTGCCATCTTGTGGTTGAGCACCACCATTCTTGCCACCCTTTCCACCACCTTGATTCTGGTTACCACTGTTCCCATTACCTCCTTTCTTGTCAAAATTTGCACCACCTTTTCCATCATTATTTCCATGAACATTCACTTGCATAGGTATGTTCCCAGTGCCACCACCCTTTTTGACATTTCCACCGGCATTTCCTCCACTAGCACCTCCTTTCATAAACTGGGGGTGCTGCCCATTCATCGTACTATTCATCATCATCATGCCATTTCCACCGGCATTTCCTCCGTTATTACCTCCATTAGTACCACCTTTCATGAACTGAGGATGCTGCCCGTTCATCATATTATTCATCATCATCTTAGGCATCTGACCACCCCCATGGCCATTACCTGTCGCAGTTTTCATCTTACTCAACGGAAAGTCATCCATTTCATCATCATCGTCAAACTCATCATCATCCGAATAGTCAAACTCATCATCATCAGATTCATCAATTTCAGGCATGTTGAACTTGACAGACTTCTGGTTATGGTCCTTGCCATTGACAGGCATTTTCATGTCCATAAACTGAGGGGGCAGCATTTTCATGTCCTTCGTAAACTGAGGCAGCATTTTCAGATCTTGAAACCCTTTCAATTGTTGAACCTGTGGATTTTGACCACCTTTCGGCTGGGGATTACCCCCCTTTTGATTAGAGTTCTTGTTATTTTGACCTTTCCCATTGCCAATTTGCAGGTTCTTGAACTGATTATTGAGTGTATTCTGCTGATTATTGTTGGCCTTTGGTGCACCCCATAACTCTGCATGTTTCCCACTCTTTGCAAGCTTCTTGATTAGTGTGGCTGGATGAACATTCCCAGATACAGTCACCTTCCCCTGCTCTGCATCTATGTTTGTGGTGTAAACCCCTACCGTAAACACAAAATTGCATAAAAATTCGGGAAATTAGACGAAACGAAGCCACATTATACACAGAAATATACATCCGCAAGTCTGTTCGACTGATACTAGTCTCCTTTCGACCGTGTGAAGCCCAATCTTGCCATTTTTGGGCTTAATTTTACCATATTAATAAACAATTACAACAAGCCAATAGAATGCACAAGTTTTGGATATGCAGATGGCTACAAAAGAAATATTCAGAATATAAAAATGGAATCTTGAATAAAGAAGTATACCATCAATTTTCTGCAAGATCTTCTTCACTTTATGCTTACAGCCATCACAGTGTACATTTACTTTAAGAACACAAGTCTGCAAGCATAAGCAAAGCCAAAGAATGGAACAAAGGGTAAAGTTCACAACTTTATCACTTGTAATCAAAATCAAAGCCAAAGCACAAGAAATATTGAATTGAATTAGTTGAAATGCATGTTACACAAAGAACAAGATAAAGATAAAGAAACAACGAAAGTAACGAGATTTAGAGATCTTGAGTTCATAGAAGCAAAACCCATAAAGCAAAAGAGCATTAAAAACACCCCACCCCACCCCCACCTACAAACACACACTCACACACACTAAAATGCACACATTTTATGCCAATGAGCAAGAGAAAGAATTACCTGGATCTTCAAGAACTCTTCTTTACTCATTTTTATCCAGTCGAACAAAAACAAACAGAACTTTTAACAGCAAAATGAGGTGAATTAAAGGGCAGTTTGGCAATAGATCTGAGATAAAACAGAGACGTAGCTAAAACTGAAACAACATTTTGAAATGGAGAAGGTCAATTTTTCAAATAAAAAACTCAGAAGTTACAAGAATGCAGTCTATTTTTCACTGTTTTCTTTTCTTGTAAACAAACAGCAGAGAGTAAAATGAGAGACAGAAGGACACAGTGAGCAAAGAAAGTTTAACAAAAATAAGGTTCACTCTCTCGTAAGACTCCGAGAGAAAGAGAGAAGTTTAAGGGTGGTCGATGGACACTAAACTTATCTGGTTATAGAGAGACAGAGAAGGGATGGCAGTTGGAGTGGGGTGGTTTCACACTCTCGCTCATGGTTTCAAGGTATTATTTATGGGCATTTTTTTTTTTTGACTTGGCAAACTTCAATAAAGGATTATCCCTCCATAAACCATTTTTATGGGTTTTTCCTACTTCCTCGACTGTGGCAGTGGAGGGCTTCGCTTGATTAGCTTTTTATAAAAGATGAATAACGCTACATGTACATCAAGCACGACAATTTAGTTAACATTTTCCTCATATATTGAGGAAATCTGTGATGCGATGAATGAATTTAAAATTAAGAATGTATATTTTATCACGTGATATCACACCCCACTCTCACACAACAAAACCACCCATCATGGTGAATAATTGTCCCTCGACATTTGAGGTGTCATAACTCGAATAGTTTAACTTTTGAGATGTTACAACTTGAACAGAGGGTATTGTGACGTGTGCATATGTAACAGACCCAAACAATGTATTTCATCCTGGGGTGGGGTGCTGACGTTAACAGTCAAATGGTCAGATTTGTTGAATTTGTAAACATTTATTACCACAAGCGTATTCTTGATTTCTTCAATAAAACTGGTACATTAATTTCTGCAGATTTGTGCAAGAATGATGCTATGGGTAAAAGACATTTTTCACATAAAATTGGCAGAATACACCCAACACATGGGTCCCATTGTTTTTAACAATATTTAATTCATGTGGATCCTACCTCCTCATACGACATAAATTCAAAATTCTGAAAAAAAATCTATCATTTTTTCTTGTATTTACANAATTCAAAATTCTGAAAAAAAATCTATCATTTTTTCTTGTATTTACATCATTTTTCTTTTTGCAATTGCGGCATCGTATTATCCCTTTACAGATTTTTGCAATCTGTGAAGGGATAAACAAAATCTGAGTTTTTTTAAATGTCATTTCAAAACATTAACGTGTGTGGATCCTTTGATATTAAGGTTAAAATGTCATGGAGAATAAAATCTGATTGTCAGTAGATTTTGATAAAAATTGACGGAATATATAATTTAAAAGTTATGAATCTTATGAAATATGTGATTAATTGTTAATTTTGACTTAAATTTAAATTTTGATTTTAATCATTACCAAACTGTAGCTAAATTTCTTTCCACCAGATTATAAGATTTTGTATATACATAACAGATCACACTGTATTTTATTTTTTCTTTTTGGAAGAGAGAAATTTATTTGATAATCTCGAAATAAATGCATCATTATGCCATTATTAACGTAATTAAAAATGGTTTCCTCCTAGATTTTTTATTTTTATTTTTAATGCACCACTAAGTTTTGACACATTGCTGATTATATAAACTTAAATTTTTTCAATTAAGTATAAATATTTGGTAATGTTTATGTTTTACGTATAAAAGTGGAAGGAGGCAAGAATATCATGAAATCGAGAAACGACATTAAATATTCATAGTTAAATTGTTCTGTTGTGTCATATCATGTTAAAACACATCTTAAATTATAACGAGAATGAACAATACCATTTCAGTACCTAAGAGGAGATTTAAAACAAATTAAGTACGATAAAAAAAACAGTATATAATTATGAATCACGACAACATCTACATCTAATAATTGTATTTAGGACATAAATCAGTTAATTTAAAGTTTTAACAGAAAACTTACATTTCGATATTTTTCATTCAATTATGTGTATGTGTATGTGTAAAGCATGGCGCCAATGTTCCTTGTTCTCAAGAAATCTTTCTAGTTGGGGGTTTCTTTACATAACCATATTAAACCTAGCAATTGATGGGCCACGAGTTCTTCGTTCGACGGAGCAATTGTTGGAGAGATTTTTTTTTTTTTTAATAACCGTGGAAATTCGGGTCAACTTACGCGCACCTCGACTAATTCGACGGGACCTTGAAATTTACGGTCGAGTACTCACCTCGGTGGCCCAAAAGGAATTTGAAGTGGTGACCATTGAGAAACAAACTCAAAACCTGACCAATTGAGCAACCCATCAAGGTTGCAATTGTTGGAGATATACGAACAAAAATATTGGGCTACCTTAATAGGATAATCTTTTAAAACATAATAGTAAGTCTCAATTTATCATATGAAACATTCCAACAATGTGCATGTCGACTCTAATAAAAAAGTAACATACTTTCATATAGGTAATCAAAAAGACGGCATACACGTATATATGTAAGAGAAAAAAAGGTTATTTCGCTATTATTTAATCCTTTTGTGAACGTGCCAAACACGCCCTTAGCTAATAACATAGATTAAGGTAAAGAAGCAACCTTCTTTTGTGAGCTACAAGTGTTGTCTTTAAAGTGTAAACCATGATGAAACCCTTGTGCCTTTTGTCGTTTGTCTTAATTTGAATACTCTTTGAAGCTTAAGGGATCTCTTTACCATAAAGGAAATCAGAATGGCCAGATGGCAGATGTCATTTCTTCTATGATTATGCAGGCTGCTTTTTAATAACAGACACTAATTGAGTCTTTAGTTTCAAATTTTTGCTTGATTAATCTATTAACTTTTATATTGAATCCAAAAATTTGACCTATAAGAATAAATAAAACCACTTGATTGATTATTAGGTCTTTGAAATAAGTTTCTTTTAAGTTGGCATTGTAAATTTGAATTCCGATTTTTGTACGAAGGTAACAAATTATTTTGAAGTAATGTTGTTTGTCATCGATGACCAGTATCATATTTAGTTAGCCTTGGATGATAGGTCTCATGTTCATGCATATCAATTCCGAGCACTCGAATTGGAATAAGTTTGATAGTTTGATGAAATCTTGGTGGCTCGGGAAGAAATTTTCAACTACTCGAAAGCCTATTGACAATTCAACAAGTTTATTAAAGAACGTAACGATCTTTCCGTAATAGAAGAGACATTTGTCGATAAGAAACGTATCAATTCATGTCGTCATGTTGTCATGGTGATCATGAGACAAATAACATTATTCTTTATTTTAAGTATTCATTTATTCCCTGTTATGGTTGACTTTTTGTACTCAAATTCTTACAGGTTACTAGACAAAGGGAGAGTATATTACTATAAAATATAGGATTTTGCCTTTTGTACATTAACTTTTACCACATTTTTGATAGAAAAATGTGTTGGCAAAGTGAATTGGATGAAAAAACATTTTGTTTTTAAACAGTCAAATGACATGATGTGGCATTCTGTCAAAAAACCTATCAAATAAAATGTACACCAAACATGATTGTAAAATATATATGACTAAACCACCCGATGCACAACCCTAATGAGTGCCCAACAATAAATTACACTCTAAATAAATTCAAATTCGATTATATGAATCACATTTCTTCATTCTATACACCTCCTCAAATATATATGAATCACATTTCAATTGCTCTGCTCATCATTCATTGCCACATCTACTGAAAGATCCAATTTTAACACTTACACCACAACTAACCACATGATTTTATGCAATAAATAAAGCTATAGATCATGGTGTTATTGAGGCTACAAATGGAGCAAGCAACTTGAGATCAATTTGACAGTTGATAGCACTCGTTTGCTATTATTAAATAGATGGCTATCAGAAAAATACAAATGGAAAATGATCTGTTACCAAAAATAAGGGACCCCTCTCTTCGTGTTTCAATTTTGAGTTTTGAATTCCTTTTAGATTGTGTTTTGAGTGTCTATTTTGAGAATGTTGAAAATGCGTTCTTTTTGTTGTTTTTTTAAAGGAAAAAAAAATGAAATTTTGGCTTGATTTTAATCAAAAACAGTCAAAATGACTTTTTGGCATTTTTCGTTTTCTTTGTAAATTTTTAACTCGTTTTCGAAAATTCATTTCTAAAAATAAGTAAGTAAGCGTGTTTTTAGTGTTTTCGAAAACTAAAAATGCTCTGAAAACAGCAAAAAGAACAGACCATAAGCTATTCATCTCCAAACTAACTATTGTGATTTTATCCCGACTATACAGATGAATATCAACCATCACCAAACAGAAGACAATATATGAGAGACGAAGCCTTTAAAAGCAGCACGAGTAAAGAATTTACAGAGAATGTGGACTACTTTTCATGACTGTCTTGAGGGGGGTCGATCTTGATTATAAGCGGTTGGTGAAGATTTACATCAGGATCAGCCACAATGGGTAATTGTGGTGATGCGATATCACCATCTACATCCGCATTTTCAGCCAAAGCTTTGTCTAAAGCAGCTTTCGCAACTCTAGTAACACAAATCATTAATACAACTGCAAGCAGACCGGTTTAAAAAGTGAGTTTCCGCATGATAAGGAACCAAAGTTAGAATACAGTACAAAAACTGTAGTATCAGGCAGGCAGCAAAAAAAAACAAAAAACAAAAAAAATAAGTACTCTAGAAACCGACAGATTCAAAGAAAAAACAGCAGGCCAAAATTACCAATGAAAATCTAAGCAGAACGTAATCTCCACTTTGGTCAATTTATGTTTTCCTCATTTCTCATATTGCTTAGGTACTATGAAATAGTCAATAGAATTGTTTTTGTTTTCTTAAGAAAATTAATTAAAACTTGGAATTACCTCATAATGACAAAAGAAAATATCTTCGAATATATAAAATCAGAAGTAGAGTGCTAGACTTAAAAAGGAGCTTCAAGATCTCTAAAAACTTCACCTCTAACAGAACTTCTCCCAAATTAGGATCTTATGGTCTTTGATATCATCTTGTGTTACTTGGATGGGAATGGGTACGTGTCCAAATACAACCTCTAAACTTTTAGGTACCGGGATTCAGTAAAATGTTAATTTCGTTATATCTAATAAGGTAAAACGATCTCTCTCTCTAAAATTTTGACATTCTTTCTAAAATTACAAACATTACAGAATATCAGATTAGTTTCTTGTAAGATGTACCACGTCAGAGTGAAAAAGCATGTGATACAGGTACATCACATTTTTAGAAGAGTGGAGCAACATTGGATTTTCAAAGGGCACGAATATGATATGGAAGTTTACATCGCCAAACTTGGATTGGACAATAGTTTTTCGAAAGATTTGAGGCAAAAAATCAGGCATCATTCCCAAGTTCCTTATTTTGGTCAGGAGATTCGTGCCAAGTATGAGAACTTGAAATGATCACTAAATATCCACTTGAGACTTACCAGATATCACAAGGCCCAACACAATAAATGCCTGCATCAAAGAAGAAGCTCGTATCAGAACTATAGGAGAATGGCAAAAAGATGAGCATGTTAAAACAGAGATGGAGGCCTTCCATCACTTGAATTGAATGGCCAGACAACAAAAGATGATTTAGCCTATTAAACAGAAATCAAACAGAAAAATACACCCCAAGGCTCTTACCCAACGGGTTTTGGAGAATTCATTCCATCCATGCGTTACATCAGAAAGATCCTTCAAAGTTGTCCCAACATATACCAAGGCAAGAGTAATTGGCTACACAAAGAACAGTAAAGGAATCAACAGTAAGGTACACTCAGCCGATCAATTTAGCAAAGAAAATTTTAAAGGGTAAAAGGCTTTTTTTTTCCCCATGAATTCTGTAATATATTATCAGCAAAGACTTATTAAAGTACATGCATATACCATCATTCCCAACCATGAAGCTAGCATGTATTGCCCTATTGGGACTGGAGTCACGGATAAGAGGTAGTTCAACATGTTAAATGGAAGTAAAGGAACGAGCCGGAGCAGCAACACTATCTGTTGCAAGAAACAAGAAATTCAATTAAGCACATTTGACCAATATGCATGTATAGATAATGTTTATCATAATTAGTGATCAATAAAATCAGAATAGCAATCAGCCAGTACTAGTCCCACACAAAGAATAAGACAGAGAATCCAAGACTAAAAGCGAAAACATACAAACCTTAAATCCAGATCTCTGAATTGCAACTGCAACTGCCCGGAACTGCGGATAGTCTCTTAACTTGGAAATAACAAATGACCTCCCAATCTGTTCTTTGTTGAAAAAGGAAGATAATATAAATGAAAATCTAAAAGAAAATACATTTTCTCGAAGGTTCCCACCAAGGGTATCCAAAAAGAGGAAAAACAGTTGAGGAAAAAAAAACAAAATGTTTGAAACTTGAGCAGTAATCAGCAAGATAACAGATGCTGCTATTAGATTGCAGAAACTTACTGTTCTACCAAGAAGAAATGCAGCCCCAGCACCAATGGCAGCACCAATGGAATCAGCAAAAAAACCCACTGGCAAACCAAAGAGGTAACCACCACCAAGCTGAAAGATACACCATGTTCCACGAGGTTTTAGTTTTACACATTCAAAAAGGGAGAAAATTCCAGTTCCATATGTGAATTATGAAAAGATATCCTAAGTAAACAGATGTTTGACGGAATTGAATGGAAAGAACAGAAAACAAGAAACAGAGATCATGCTAGCAAGTACAATAAATATGACGATGTTCACAAAACACTTTGCAGAAACTATATCACGAACACTTGAAATTTAAGCACCACATGATTCCAATCTTAATTCTCAATGTAGCTTGCCCAACAAGAAGAAGGCGCATATAACTATAAACATCCATTCCCTTCCCACGTTAACCTCAAAAAGAATAGGAGCTTAAGTTTAATGCTGGAACAACCATAACTAGAGGACACTGCTATAACTAGTAAAAAGCCATATTAGTTGAAACATGCAGAGCAAATCAAGCATAAAGTAACTACCAAAAAACTAAAGGACAGATATCAATTAGCAAAACTGAATTTTTTTCATTTCACACTTGCAACTTGCAACCCAAAATATCAAGTATAATTCAATGCCTGTTAATAAAGTCTTGAATTTGAAAATGCAGTTTTTTCCGAAATTATATGAGACAGAATAGACACAGTAAGAAAAATGTCAATTCTTACCGTAAGTACTGAAGCAGGAACTGCCAATACAGTTAGGGGAATGTATGCAACAGCTCTGCAAAGTTCATACTACATGTGTGAGTCAGGATGATATTCTTAATTATAAAAATTTGTGACATTTCATAACTAACTTAATTGGCAATATGTCATATAACTGTAGAGTAACTTGATTTTAATGACACTCAAAATACTAAGAGTCTGTTTGGGTGGCTTATGCTAAAAAAATAAGCTCCAAATAATTTGCTCTGCTGGGCAGAACAGACACTAAATTACTTCATGACAATAAAATCTCTAGACTTCAAGGTGAACAAAGTTCAATGACACTCATGGTCTTAGATAGCTCAACACATGTACTTAGGTCACAACCTTTTAAACTGTACATCTCCGTCGTGAGAATGAAGAATAAAAAAGAGAAACTCCTGACTTTTCCCCTGTTCGGTCCCCATTCTCAAAAATTCATTTTTCTCAAACTCATTTTCAACCATACATTTTATGGGACCCACAACTTTTATCAACTTTTCAACCACCATTTCATAAACTTTTATCAAAATATACTAGAAATCTAATTTTTATCTAAACCAATTAGGGACTTTATTTTCACATACAGATGGAAGATATGGACCAGCAGAAACTTGACTTAGGCCTTCCTACACAAAGTGACTGCACGTAAAACCTATTCTGTGGCTATATACAAAAATCATCTTCCGTTTTGACAACTAACTGACATGACAACAAAAGTATAGCAGCAATCTCAAGTATAGTAGTTAAATCACACTTTTTTTGTTGAGATCTCAGCATATGATGTAAAATAGAAAAGAATGTCAATTAGAAATGGGTATGAAAGAAACACTATCATAGTTATGTGGGTAAATATATACACAAGTTCACATAAAGCCTCCATAGACAACTGTAGAATTTAAATTATTTGCAACAAATATAAGTTCCCTGATGCACTGTGAATAATGTAGGCGTCTTCTCTATTTCTCCTTTTCTACTTCCAAATTCTTTTAGTAAATAAAGTAATTATGAGCTGCTTTCATCCTCTCATCTGTTATCCATGATCAATGATTTTTTGGTTTCCACTGCTCAGACACATTAGGCACAATATAAAGACTTGATTAGTGTCGGCGTACAAAAACTGTACTTACAGCACAAGAGGACCCCAAGGACCGAGATCATGCTCAATCCATGCTAAGAAATCCTTCAGAATCTGCAAATCGCAACTCTTTCAGAAACAGGATAACTAAATCACTCATTCATTTAAAACCAATTTTAGTGCAAGGATAGCTCCTAAGATAAATGCCTTTCAGTAATTATGTCTTTAAATGATTTATATATTTTTCAGACTCAACCCACCATCTTCAAATAGTGTGATCAATTGAGACAAAATAATCATCTGTACAATACAAAAGATAATATATCTTCCTCAAAACTGGTAAACTTGCCTTTATTTTAACAGGAGGAAATTAACACGTGCTCAATACACAAAATAAAAGGTCTTCACTTATTCAACCAATTGAAACAAATAAACACTGAGATTAAAAGAAGAAAACCCATTATTTGCAAAAGAATTCATCGCCAATTGCCCCCACAGAATTCAGATACTATATTACTAAAAACATCACTTAAAATAAATCACAATAATCCTAACAGGCCAGTTTTACATCATAAATTATCCAAGTAAACACCGAAACCAAACAAAAATGTGCAAATTAAAAACAATCCAGGTCAAAAAAACCCCTTAGAACAGCCCATAAAGCACCAAAACAATCATTAATCAAAACAAAAAAAACATCTTTATCAGAAAACATTTGATACTGTCCAAGTAATACCAAGGCAAACAAAATTAAGCAAGACAAAAGAGACAGATGGAAAAAATCTTACTTTTTCGACAGGCAGAGTGAGGCAAGCGGTGGCAATGCCCGCGATGAGAAGTAAAAGAAGGGTGATTTTGAAAAAAGAAACCCAACTAAATTTGAAACCCATTTTTATTGACTTCGGGGAGAAAAATGAAAATCTCTTGCGCCAAGGTCTACACTCCTCTTCTGGGTCCTCTAGTAAAGCTTGTTTCAATGACAAGCGAGGCCTCAAGTTAATTCCCCCTAAATTTGCCAGATTGAATTCAAAAAACTATATAGCATGAACAAGAAACGGAAAAAATAAAAAATAAAATTGAAACTTTAGCACATTAAATTCAAAAATCAAAGTGATCTACATACAAAGCTGGTTCTTTAGGTTGTTTATGTGCTTGCGGAATTTATGAGAGATTCAGAGACGGGTTTATTATGGGATCTTACGAGGAGATTGGGATTTTCTGTCTTTTCCTTTTTTGCCTTTCTCTTTCGCGGGGTAACTTTAAGAAAGGCTAAGTCAAGGAACAGTATACTACATATGGCTAACAA